ATCACATTCTATAAGAGAAGATCATGACATTATGTCACAGAGAGATCTGGCATGCTTATCATGGCTTTATTTTACACATAAAAAAATTCTCATCCACAGAATTTAACAAGGGAGAATAAATACTTTGGATCAATTGGATAGAAAATGTGACATCAAGACAATTAAGATAATTCTAGGACACTTGATTTTTAAATAAGTAGAATTCTATTTGTGAAACAACAGGACTGAACATCCTGATCCTAGTCTAGTAACAAATTCAATATCAGATTTGGAAAGGATTAAGTCTTATTTCTGTTATAATTTCATAAAAACACAAATAATTAAATAGCTTCTGAAAGTCAGAAGAACTAGTATTTGCCGTTCAACTTTGCAGTGGCTTTATTTATTGCAGAATGTAAGTAGAGCCCTAGAACTCAGTAAGGAGGAAGGATGATATAGTAACTATTTAGGATAGGACTGCCTTTCACAAAGAACGTCAATAATCTGTGAGCATTTTTCTTTTAAATTTCATTATATTCCAGATGAAGGAATGTACATAAATGCTGAATGAGTGACCAGTAAGTAGATAATAAAGAGGGTCTCTGGCTCATTCAAATAAACCCTAAAATTATTCTACTGAAATGAATATACATCACCTGGTTCAACTGCGGTTCCCCCGAGCTCCAACCTTCAAATGAATTGTTATTCCATGCCTCTTCTCTAGGTAGTAACTTAATAACCAAGAAAAGACAAGTAGACAAAGTAAAGGTTTGGGATTAGCCAGACAACTTTTCACATCTCTGTGCATAGACCACATGACTATGAACATGAAAAACCCAATTTCCTGTGTGGGGAAGTGACATAAGAGCACAGCAACTACACATAAACACTGCTGGGCACTCACAGTGAACCCAGAGCTTGAGGTGGCACGACGCACATTTGTGCAGGGAGATTCATGCCACATGCCGTCCTTCAGCCTGCTGTGGGTATTCCTGGCCTGCAGCTACTCTGGTACGGATGGTTCCAAACAGGGGTGAGGATGTTAAGGATGAGAGGGTTGCAACAGGCGTGTGGAATTCTCATGGACTTGAAGAGGAAAGGGGAAATTCGAGAAAAGTGAGCATACTAGGATTTCAGTTAGCTTTGTCTTTGGGTATGATTTAGTCTAATTTTTATAATATTTTTATAATATTTTATTCACTATATCAGAAGGTAGCTCTGTTTTCTGATTTTTGTCATAGGATCCACTGTGGCCCAGAAAGTTACTCAAGCAGAGACATCCAGATCCTCGACAGTGGGGCGGGCGGTCACCCTGAACTGCCAGTATGAAATAGGCTGGAGTGCATACATTATTTTTTGGTACAAGCAACTACCCAGCAAAGAGATGATTTTCCTTCTTCGCTGGAGTTCTGGTGATGGGAATACAAAGAATGGTCGCTATTCTGTCAGCTTCCAGACACAAGCTAACTCCATTGACTTGACAATTTCAGCCTTAAGACCAGAAGATTCAGCAAAGTATTTCTGTGCTCTCTGGGATGCACAGTGTTTGAAGTGATAGTAAAGGCAAAACAAAAACCCCAGAGCTCAAAAAGATGAAGAACCCCCAACCCGTGCTGCAGGAGGCAAGCTGAAATGCACATCTGCAGATCCCAGGCAAGAAATGGGAGTGACTGTGGTCTGTGGACTCAATCTGTGGTCTGGATCACATGATTGAATTCTAAGTAAAACCTCCTTATATCTCCTTTGGTAACAGGTGTTCAGAACAACTTTCTTCTAATACTTGAATTTTTGACTTATAATATATCCTACAGAAAATGTGTAATGTTGTTTAAAGTTGAAAAAAAACTGGCCCACAATAATGTAAAGTGGCGGTTTCATTAAAGATGCTCATTGTAGTAATCTGGGTCTAGTTATCTCAGAATTGGCTTAAAAATCATTTCCTGAGCCGTTTCCCCTTAGGCTTTGTGCCAATTAGGTTACAATCAGAGAAGCTGAACCGCCATGAGTGATGTAAAACAAAAGGTTAATCATAAAGACATGATCTTGTGCCATTGCTGGAGCTGGTGGATTTTTAGAAGCTATTTGGGTATTTATGTTTTATGAAATTAAAATAAGAATAACATATTATTCTTTCATATATTTGGCACTGAGCTTTATGTACTCAATTCTGAAGAGGATCAGGGTACTCAGTCCTGATTGAGGACTTCACAATTAGTTGTGTTGCCTTCACAATTAGATTGTACTAACTAGATCATATGTGTCCTGGATTTTTCCCGATAATCACATTTTCTATCTCATTGATCCAAAGATTCTGCTCCCTCATTAAATTCTGTGGCTGCACATTTAATGAGTAAAATAAAGTCATTTTAAGTATGCCAGACATTTCTGTGATACAATGCACAATCTAGTCCTGCTCCTAAGCAAAGCTGTTATCTTTGCATCTAGTGTTGAGCCTGAATTTACCACAGGTCAACTAGATTAACATTTGAGAAGGAAAGTTAGATGTTCACAAGAGCATGTACAAACTGTGACTTGTAAGGTCATACTGGAACCCAACTGAAATGAATAAGAAAAATTCAAATTTGTCTGTCTCTTCCAGCCTTCTGTGTCATAGTATTGGGTGACTTTCAAGAGAAGCAATGGTGTTTGCTATCATGCTACCTGGGTATTTGGCCCAAGACAAGGAGAAGCTGAAGGAGGAGATGTGGTGGAGGTAGAGGACTTTTAAGTCAACAATAAGATGGGCTATCAGATCAGCAGCAACACGTGTGCTCCTGGACCCTCACACCAATCTTGCACAATTTTTTTTTCAACATAACCCAGAACAATACTGGGAAGCAAATTATGGGAATAGTATTTCCAGATCCTTCAGTTGAGACAGTACACAGCTGGCGCAGTAGCCTCAATGTAAACTTGACATCCATATGCACCTCTTTTACCAACATTTAACTTTCAAATAAAGATAATGTAAAATGTATGTTTCCTGCTAATATGATCCAATTATTCTTTATTTATTGAAAAACATGCTAACGTTCTCCTGTAAAGAGGATACAAAGTTCATTTATCCATCTTTGAGTGGTGTTCTTTCCTCTTCTTACTGAGTCACACTGCAATTGAAATTAGGTAGCTTAGCTGCTGAAATATAATGAGATACCAGATTAAGTCACTAGCACATCTCATGCTATTCCATGTGGGCATAAGGGACATGATTTATAAAGTAGTTAATATATATTCTTAAATGTACTCATATTACAATGTAAAAGGGATTTTAATTACATTGGAGTTTTGGTTTCTACAAATGATCACATGGTTGTAGTTGGTTTAATAACTACCATTTCCTATTCTCCAATTTTGTTCCCTTTAAAAATTGCTTAGGTTAATATAGGGTTTTTACATTTCTGTATAAGGGTTAGAATCAGATCATTAAGTTCTATAAAAAATCTTGACGGAATTTTGAATAGTATTACATTACATTTATAGAAGATTTTGAGTAGAACTGTTGTCTTAAAGCCATTGAGTCTCCTAATTTGTGAACATGACATACTGTTTAATTTCCTTAATTTTTGTCAGCATTGTTTTTTGACAGTTTAGTGCAGAGGCCTTGGATATCTTTAAGAATTCAAAAACATAAGCCACCAATGAGAAGATAATATTTGAAATGTATGTATGATTCAAAAGTCTTGTGCATGGAATATGTAAAGAGGTCTTACAACTCAATGAAATAGAAAAAAAACCCAATTTAAAATTTAGCAAAATATTTTAGCAGAATCATTCTTTAAATAAAAAGTTATGAATGATCAATAAACAGATGAAATTATGATCTAGGTCAGGGGACAATAAAATATGGCTCATGAGCCGATTTCCATCGTCAACCTATTCTTATAGAGTTTTTTTTGCCATGAAGCAATTCTCATTCAGTTATGTATTACCAATGACTTCTTTTGTGCTACAATGGCAGAACTGAGTAGTTACTACTTAGACTTAATGGCCTGGAAGGCTGAAAATATTCACTATTAGACATTTTATGGAAAAATTTGCTGACACATTACATCATTAATCATCAGGAAAGTACAAGCTAATACCACAATAGGATACCAAAATAGCCATTATGTTGGCTAACAATGAAAACACGACTATTCTAACTGCTGACAAAGATGAAGTACAATTATCTAATTTAGAATCAATCTGAGGACCTGTTCTCTTTAGTGTGAAGAGCTCTCCCTAATCTGATGGTGATGTTGTGGGAGGAAGGAGATGCTACGCAGTGACTCAGTCTGAGGCGATTTTCTGCCTCTGGAGGAACACCAGGGCAGCTGTGGTGTCACTGTGTTTATTTGAGTAGCCCTATTCTATTCTGGTACCTCCAGCATCCCAACCTGTTCCTCCAGATCACCTGAGTCACACCTCAGCATAGACTAGCAAATGCTTCATAGCTGACCTCAGTAAGAGCAAATCTTCTATCTGAAGTAATTATTGCCTAAAGAGGAAGACTCAGCCAATTATTTCAGTGTTCTGATTAGTGCAGGGCTTGCTGAACACAAGTTTTAGGAAGTTGGAAAACTGTTCAGTGTAAACTTCCTACATGGCCACAAAATGGCAATGCTGTTTCAAAGGAGATTAAAGTTTTTCTCACATAGGCATATTCATCAAGTAGCCAAAGATAATCCTTAAAAAGCCTAGTAAATTATCACCTACCTGCTCTAATTTATTAATTTATATCTATACATATAAATTATGTATTTGTGTATATATCCATTCATCTACCTAAAAATTAATAGTATCTGTATTTATTCTAGCTTAATAGTGTTGAAAAGTATGAGTTTGGAAATCAACACTTCTTTGAATGAAATACATTATTATTCAATGCCATATTGATTCCTCTAACTTAAATTTATATGTTTTCACCCATACACAGCCCTACCTCTAGCCATACTGAGTTAATCTTTTCCTAAAATTCCCTTATCTATTTTTTTCTGGCAAATTTACCAGACTTTAAGGCCCAGTTCAAGCATGTCCTCTATTTGACCCCTCCTCTGACTGTGACTAGAAGCACAGTTCATCACATCCTCTAGACACAGAGGTCTCCTTGGAAGGTTTTATTTGCCTGTACCAAAGGACTGGACCTAGGTTAACTCAAGACTGTAACTGTGTGTCTCTTTCATGAATGACACCTAAGTACTGCCTATTTAGTAGGCACTCAGTAAATATATATTGAAAACGTGCATAAATAAATGAATACATGAAAAAGAAAATAAACCACCAAAAAAATTTTTCAAAGATCACCTTAGGGTTTGGAGTACAAAGGGATTAGATTCTAGATTGAGGACTATAGTCTACTGTTGGACTGGGATGGTATTTTCCTTTGTATGTAAGGTGACATCAAATATACAAACAAGAAAATTCTTTTTGTGCGTCAGAAAAAATGTACTCCTTATGTTATTTTAACTTCTATTATTTATAATACAGATCACCTCTATTTTTATGGCTGCTTAGGAATTTATCCACTATTTCTGCCTCTGTGACCTGCCTGTGTTAATATCAGAAGCCAATTTGGTTCTTCATTTTTTCATGTCGGATCCATGACGATGAATTGTGAAGAAAACATTAAATGTTTGTTGAAACTCAGGGTAAGAGCTACAAAAAAGGTTCCATTACTTGTGGCCCCATCGCTTCTGAATTCTGCTGAATTTTTCCATCCTTTCTTATCCACTTAAAGATCCAAGCTCCTCCAGACCAGATAATTCTAGTATTACCTAATTTCTTTTTCCAGGTATATTCTTAAAAATACATAATTTACATGATATATACTTATAAGAAATATGAATAAATTGAGATTGAGTTAATTATCTTTTATCATTTATTAGGGTCATGTAAAATATGCAATGGACATATCTGAAAGATTATAATAAAATTTAAGTTCCCTGAGCACAAGAGGACCACATGTTCCCCATGTTCTTATCCATTACTTAGGTTGTAATGGGATATTATGGCCATTTTGTGTCTTTGGGAAACGTCATTAATATTTGTGATAAAAAATTAAATTCCGCTACACATGCTAATCTGTGGGCTTCAGGGGAGTCTCTCTCTTCCACTGTATAAACATATTATTAACATATTAACATATTATTGTTTCAAAAATATGACATTGAGTTTTATTTACTAGACTCTGAAGATCAGGATATTCAGTCATGCTACCTTCACAAGTAGAGTTGTACTTACTACTAGACCATGTGTCCTAGAATTGTCCCCATATCACATTTTCCATCCTATTGATCCAAAACATTCAGTCCCCTCATTAAATTCTGGGGCTGTGCATTTAGTATGTGCATTAATAAAATAAAGTCAGGATAAGTATGCCAGACATCTCTGTGATACAAGCACAATGCAGCTCTACTCCTGTGCAGAACGGTTGCCTTTGTATCCGGTATTGAGCCTGAATTTACTACAGGTCAGCTATTCTAAGATTTGAGAAGGTAAGTTGGATGTGGACAAAAGCATGCACAAACTGTGACTTGTAAGGACATACTGCAACCCTTGAGGACAAATAGAACCTACAAGAACAAACTAAAATTTGTCTCTTCCCTCCTTTGGTCTCATAATGGTGGATGATCTTCAA